TTAATTATGACAATGCATATTCATATTGAAATAAACTATGATAAAGGGAATTGTATTATATAACAAAGGGCAAGGTCACCAGAGTTCAACTATGTTATATTGTTCTAACGATTGAATAATTGAATAGACTGGTATCATAGCCTTGCATGTTATTTTTTGCTGACAGTTTAGTGATGTGATTCCAATCAATATTCGAACTTACTTTGGCCAGTATGCTGACATGACATAACTGTGGTTTTAACCTTGCATCCAGCGCTGGTAAAGCAACATAAGAAGACCACCCTGCCTATTTTAATTTCATAGTTACCACATCAGGTTACGACAAACTAAAACGGCAGACATGTTATTTGTATTGCCGGCGCAGAAACAACTATTGTTAATAATTATTTCTTTTAATTTTTCGGCTTCAGTTACCTAACTGATAGCTAATTTACGCTTGTGTAATATTCATGGTCACATTACATACGCCTGTGTGTAAGTTCGCCCTCAACATTGCCAACAATATCTCGTTTACCGCTCTCCATAACATGAAAGCGCCATAAAAGCGTTTCTCGTACTTATTTGTATGCCCACTTACATGTGATATTTTATTTTCTCCATGTAATAGAGTTTCCATTTGGCACGGTCCCGTGTCTAGAAGTGGACGGAGTGATGTTGGCCCAGTCAAGCGCTATTGCCTGTTACTTGGGCAACGAATTTGGTGAGTGTCAATGCAATACGCATGCTTGAAGTTTGATTTCAGTTTAACTATTCTACGTTCCAACAAAGTTCATGTATTTTTTTTATTCTGAGTTGTCTATACCAATTAAACCAAGTAATGTTACACACGACTCTGTAATCTCAACCCACTGTATGTTTACTACTTACGTCTTTCAGGATTTTCTGGGAAAAATAACTTGGAGAAAGCCAAAGTTGACATGATTATGGATGCCTTCGGGGATTTACTCAAAGTGGCAGGCAAATGGTATTTTGCAGCAGATGAAGATGCTAAGGTACCCCCCTAAAATAAAAACCATCCTGGATTTAATAAGTAATAGTGATATATATCGTGTTAGAATTTATTGTAGTGTTTTTTTTATAGTATTAAATGTTGGGATTATCGGTGGGGCGGCACAATTTCTCAAAACCTTCTCATGTTATTTATTATTTCAGCGACGTGTATATTAAAGCGCACTGTGGTCAAACTTAGTGAAAACGATGGCGAACATGACGCACTGTAACGACTATGCCACTTTAACGGTGTGATAATATTCAGAATATAGTTGAAATTGCTTTGTTTGCGTAATTAGCTATGATCATCTAAAACACAGTGATTGACTATTTCTTTCAATCACGTCTTAACGAAGCAGCGTAATTTTGGTCTCCTTTTTAGATATTGCAAAATAATGTAATGTACATTTAAATAATATTTGCCAGCCAAGTTTATTCGGTCACCCCTTCTCTACTACACAGAGGAGCCAACGTATATTCAAGTGCGCCCTCTCTGGCAATATTAGAGATATTTTCTTCAAAACATTTTCCAGCCAAATTGTTCGTTACAGAAGATTTTTTTCCCAGCCAGAAATTGACTAATTTGCAATCTGTTACTTAAATCTATTTATTTTTTTGCCAATTTTTCAGCTATGAAATACGCCACCGTGAAATGTGCGCTAATATCGATGTGCATAATGCAAGCTATATGCTCTTGGGATAATATAAACATAGATTTCAACCGTCAAGTGATAGTCTAAATAAGTAGTTTAACCAACTATAGTTTTTGTTCAGTACTAGGTTACATAACGAAGATAATCCTGGCAAGTGGGAACTGCGGAAAGGCCGCCAAAATGTGTCGTCGCGATCGGCTACACAACACTGCATTTTGTTTGACCAGTTGTTACGTGTTCAGTGCCTCCAATCAGACCTATGCCTTTTATCGAGGTAAAATACGCCGCGATTTCTCGGTAGAATCCAGCCTGGGGTCGTGGAGGACTGTGTTCACATTCGAGCTCGCGAAATCACGCGAATTGGATGATATATTTGAATTGGCTGTGTAATTAACACGATTACGGCCGCGCTAATAATGTTCAAAATAATTGTAATGTTATTTAAAGCGGCGGAGTCGTCACCTGCGCATGCGTCAGGTGGCCATAGCGTGTCATTCTTTACAAACAAGCGTTTACCCATGAACCTTTACGTTTTTAGCGTATGTTGTTAACGTCGCTCGGGACCCAATTCCCGCGCGTGCTCAGGTGAGGACCCTCCTGCTTTAAAAGCGCATTTGTGTTTACAGCTGTACTGTGTAATTAAACGTGTAATATGTATCAATATCCTGACGGTATGCTCTACACGTGCCGTATCGAAAACAAATAAAACAAAATAATTTGAAAATATAAGTTAACAATACTTTCAGCATAAAATGTTATGTGTAAAGTGGATTTTAACTTTATACATACCAAATCAATAATTGCACTTAATGCATGAAATTACGGTCCCAGTGAGACTTCGATTAGCATGCGACATTTACCCGATTCTAGCTAATAATATGGACAATAACTATTATACATGCCTTCTCCTGTTGTAGGCTGCCGCTGTCGAGGAGTACAACACTAAAACTTGCCCAGCAATTTATGGTGGATTAGAGAAAATTCTCGTCGCAAACAATGGAGGAGATGGATACTACGTGGGAAATGAGGTAAATGTAACCTTTTGCGTTACATTTATGCTATGTCGTATGGCCTTGAAATTACATGCTATCTATGATGGTTTGGGAGTCGATGTCGCATTGCAGAATGTCTTATGTGTACATATTATCTATACTAAGAATTGTACTCCCACATCAAATAGTATAAAGAAATGTAGACGGGTTTATACATGTTATACATCTGTAGCTGAAATCAATAACCAGGTCAACATTTTAAACTAATTCACAGTGAGTTTACCAAATAGGCGAGCGACGCATCAACATTAAAAAAAGGTTACTAACAAATATTATAAAGAAACCTTTCTTGCAAACTTACACTAGCAATGTATAGAAAGTCTGCTACACACACCTTGATGCATTCACACGTATACCAAGTGTTTAACAAGCAATATTTACACTTATCAGTATTATTATAAATATCATACAGCCAAGGTACGGCAACAATCCGTGGTATATACCAATACCCTAATATTGGACGTTTTCTCACTTGCAGGTGACTATAGCAGACATTGCTTTTGTCGTGACGTGGGAGATGACAAAGATGTTGAATCCCCAAATGTTGGACAGCTATCCAAAACAGAAGGCTTTGAAGGATCGAGTATTAGCATTGCCAAAGATTGCAGAGTGGGTGAAGAAGAGACCAGAAACTGAACATTAACTGTGTTTGACTGCATATCGTTAAGGGATCGTAGTGATGTCTTTGCATTAAAGATCAAACATATCCATAGTCTGGCATTCGTATTCGCAAGTAATGAATTTTGACGCTATTAAAGAAGAGCAATGATTCAATAATTCGAGTGTTATTGGCGTATAATTGTATATAAATGAGGACAATGCAATTTGTTTCTGTTCATAAAAAACTTCGTTTCTGATGCACTCCAAGGCGTGTAAGTAAGTAAGTACCAGGAATTAAGCGCATACACTACCTGCTCGTCTAGAGTAAGTAGAATCACCTATCAAGTAGAGAATCGGTCATCAAACACAGATAACATGGCACAGTACTGGGTAGATACACAATGGGCTAGGGTGAAAAAGTCCTGGGAATACTGAATGTAAACTGTACTATTTAAAAGATTTCCCTGATGAAATAGCTGCTCAATTAAGGAATTCCCCATATTTCGACACATACTATACTGGTAACAAGAGTAGGCGTTTTTGTAATATACCTTATGCACTCGTGTTGGCCCTAGATAGATGCGCTTATTAGTCCCTAATAGGACGCAACATTGCAATAATATACCTATTTTTTTCAAATACTGGCTAAAATTTAGTGTAAATAATTCCGACGGAAATGGATAAGAATAATGAAGTCATAGTACTTACAAAACAATAACAAAATTATTTCATGTTCGGCAAACAATAATGCATGTACGCGGTGTCAGTCGCAAACATGAAACATAAATTGTTCATGAAATATAATACGACAACATATCTAAGCACAATTTGGCAAGAAAAGTTCTAGTAAACCTGTTCCTCGATTAGATATATTTGTACTGTACTAATCTCAATGTACTGTATAACATAATATGGATTTCATAAAAGTTCGCAAATAGTATGGAATTTGTTGCAGAAAGACATTTGACGAATGAAGTAATTCTTTAACTACGTAATATAAACAAATTATCGATTGACGATACACCACGCAGACTCTAAAGACAGTATTACTAACATCTGGTTCTCATTACTAGCAGTATAAATGTCTTTATTTTGTCCACTTTTTTCTATGTCTATCAAAATGTTTTGTTTTTGGCAATTTACCCTCATATCCTGAAAATTGCACTTGCTAGTCACACCAAAGTTAAACCTTCACCAATATCTTAAAAATACGAAAATGTGAACATATCTTTTACGAGACAACAACAACAAAAAACGTTTTCCCCTCACATACCTTGTATATCTACTCAGTAGTAAATTATTAAGCAAGATTCACAAAAGTACAATATAGTAAATAATTCAGTAAATAAGTTTATTCTCCTTATTATATCCAATACAATAATAGAATCAAAAACTAAATACAAAGGACATATGTGAGAGTAAGATCGGAATATAGCCGTCAGGTGACTGCTAATCTAGTCCGTTCCCATATAAATAACTAGTCATAATAATTAATTAGTTAATAGGGCTTGTCAAAGAAATAGCGAAAAAAATATATAGATATGTATATATGTAATTATGATCATATAAGGACTTGCAGCTTTTTTGATCCTACAGTAAAATATCTCCCCATATATTCGATGACTCGTTCTGTACGAAAAATATTGTTTACTGTGTGACTGGAGCTATTTGTTTTATGTTTCAAATGTTTATGACCTCTGGTCGGCAGCTGTATATTTTGCGTTCTTGGCATGAATTGGATCCACGACATTATCAGAGTCGGCGTTATTTATATTCGGTCGTCTGCTTCCCGCTCAACATCGCCATGGATATAGACAAATCGTGCAGATACACCAAACACAATACACGGAATGCGCATGCGTACACCATGGTTTGTTATTAGTTTTTTGATTGGTTAATCTGTTTGATTCAAAACAGTGTGCATCAATTTGCTGCAAATCCACTTCATTTTTCTATTACAGGATCCATGGCGGTGTTGAGTTCAATATACTCGATATAAAGATAACAAATGCAATATGTATCCCATGTATCTATTTTGCATGTTCAGCAGTAATCGTCCTGGTTCTTTTGCATAAAAGGACACGATTTATTATTGCGATTAAGAAATATAATAGTTATTTTTTTAGCTATTACCTATGTTATGGTTTTGCATGCATTGGTAATATAAATACAAACATTTAAGTAAATTTAAAGGGCGGTAGTAGTCGTGCCACGCATGCGCGAGATGCATATAAACAAAGAGGGCGACTTTGACTGTTGCGCAGATCAACGAATACAAACTGAGATAATTCCAAGCTTAATTTGGTAATTGTTAGGTGATTGGAAGGTATCGAAGGAGTTACCTTGGACCAATCAGTATACATATTATTTGAAATCAGTCGCTCACGTCGAATAAACACGAATGTTAAATAATACTAATATAATCAATTATAGCATATCTCATATAGAATTCATATTTAATCTCCATAGAGCTTCCAAGAGCTTGATTTAATTTTTCGTTTCGCTACATGGCCTCGTACTTGAAAGAACGAGCCACATCATTAACAGTTTACCAATCTGTTATTATATTCTACTGATTTGTAGTCTACCCCCTTTCCCGGACTGTGTTGGTGTAATGTGTTATAACAACCAGAAAGTTGTGTTGAAAATGAAAGATATGATACCTCTCATTTTTTTAAATCGAAACTGCTGCACAATTTGATATGCCTGCTACAAACACAATGTCGTTGATAACGAAATGGCAAGGCCATGCATTTTTGATAACTTGACGGTTCAGAATCAGTATATATAATTAAATGATATTCTATGGTTTAGTTTGATGTGTATTACTAAGAACACCACCCTGTTTCCTTATAGGGATAATCTGTAATATTATACATATTAAGTAGAAGGTCATTAGTACCGATGTCGTAGAACATGAGATTGACTTGTTAACGTCGTTGTAGTGCAATTGACAAACTATGATTTAGTTTCATTTGTATTACTAAGAAAACCATCATGTTTGCTCAAACTGGATATACGGATATTTTATAGCTTAGTACATCATAAAATGTCATATGACGTATAGCTAGCTATATAATCAATGCTCTGTTCCGGCCCTTTCCCACCAACTCTGCAATCTTGGGTATTGCTATAAAGCGAGCCTAACACTTGCACTACTTTTGGCCACGATTTTGTCGTGGCAAGTCGTGCCATTTTGGGGCACGAACTGGGAGACTCTCGCACTGTTCACGAGTTTGTCAGTCAACAAATATCTATATTAGCATCCATTAGTGTGATTGATAACAAGATTTTTTTGTCGAACATACATTTCCTAAATTATCTAAATATCATACGGCCTCTATTTTTTTTTAATTCCTCTGAAGACAAAATTATTGATGGATAATGATTAATTTGGTTGATGGGAACGTATTTATTCAGGAATATAATATAATAGTATAGTGAAATTGTATATAACATATTAAACTACAGGTGCCTGATTGTGACCGTGTCATGTCGGAAAAGGGGTTTTATGTCGTATTTTTTTTAGTATTCTAATAAAACAAAAAAGAAGTGAATTTGTCAAGTCATCAGTTTAACTTCAATTTCAATCATTTCTACGCACCGCAAACATTTATTGCCACTACCCTACTTGGATTCACTGTATGGTACTGAAGGGTACCAAGAGGTCACTGAATTTTATGATTCAAATTGTTCTTATTGAACAGTTGAATGGGTTGTATACAAACCAAAATTTCAGCTCTGTATTATTTGAATTACCATTCAAAGCAACACTCCCCTCAACATTGAGGGATTTTCAATATCAGATTCTCCATAGATTATAAATTTTATAAATACAAAAAAAAGGTCGCATCCTAGTGGGAATGAGATCATGTACTTTTGACATTTTGGTTGAACGCAGGCATTGCTTATTGGCTTGTCTGCGCAGTGCTTCTAAACCACGTAATTAACTGTTACAGTAGCTTAATACACAAAGTCAGGTAAAGTTACTTATTGATAGATTAGCTAAAGGAAATTACTGACATATTTGGCATTACACTACAAATCAGTTATGGATACTCGCTAAATAGGTGTAGAATGTCATCACCAATGCTCTGCAATTTCCGTTCGTTTGGACGAATGTTATAGGATTGCACATTGCTGTGTAGAGTCATTGTGAATAAGGAGCTCTTCTCATCAGTACGTGAGGTAGGCTGATATATAATTATCACCAAACACGACGAAGTGAAGTAAAAACACATTGCCGATAAATAAGGTAAGGTTCATTCATTCATTACCGGAATTTCAGTCATTGACATTTGATTTTATTGTTTGCCAACTACGTTGTGGTTATCGCTTATAGTTAGTTAACAATCAATATTACATAATTTGATGCGTAGTTCGTGTGTTCCTTCTTGTGGTACATTTATCCAATTAAATGTCCGGGCGCATAGCTCTCATTATATATCAATTAAAATAATCATAGTGCATATATAACGTGTTAACTCTAGTCATATTGTTATTTACATTCCTTGTATTTGCGAGATACTGGGTTCGGCAGTTCGTTCATGAATATAAAAAAACACATAAATATATACTGAACATTTCTGAAATCTTAAACATATTCACTTTATTAAAACTGCGAATTTTATATGAAAAGAATGTAAATGAACAGAACTATTGATTAATGACACAAGATTTGTTCTTGTTTTTGAGTCGTAGATTTGAGAATTAATCTCCACTCGGATAATCCGAAGCAATCTTTATAATGAAACAAGAGATTACTTACATTCGGGGAACACACGATACTACAAGCTTACTTTCTGAATTAATCTACGTGTTTAAGGCCATTCCACTAGTTGAATGTAAAGGGTTTCTAGTGCTGTCCTATAAAAATAAAACTTTGCTTGAAGGGTTACATACTAGTTTCTAAGAACCAAGGTAGACACAGGCTAACATTTATTGTAGTACTCGTATGCCTCATGAGTACGTTTTCACTGTTTGGATATAATTTCTGATAATATGTTTTTGACAAAAAAATCACTTCTTGGTGGATAACCATAATTATTAATTAAATACTTTTTATATCACTAATAAGGGAATTTTTCTAAAAATGGTATGATGCATGATAATCGAGTTATAAATAGTTGTTCGAAACGTGACTTATGTTAATCATTGTTCATACAATTGCCTTTCTAGGGCGTTATTTAATAGTGCATAGCACTGTGTATTATTAGATAACAATGATTTTTCTCAAAATACCTTACACGTAATGAAAATAATATAACACCACATTCGCTATCTAGAGTGTTACAGACGGGCCTGGGTTAACTAGTGTCAGCTTTTCATCAGCTTTCAATAAACATGTCACTCCAATCCAATCCAATGAATGAATGAATGATGAATGAATGATGGATGGATGAATGAATGAATGAATGAATGAATGAATGAATGAATGAATGAATGAATGAATGAATGAATGAATGAACGAACGAAAGGACAAATAAACGAATGAATGAATGAATGAATGAATGTTACAGTCCTAAACTGTGTTTACTGCAACGAATGGTTAATATGTTAAAATATATTCATTAGAAATCCCATCAATAAAAATACAATCGAAAGCACAAATTTTGCCTTTAATATTATACCATCATTGTTTTGGTTTAGCTTATGTTTACTAGAATTATTATTCTATTCATAACCAAGTTTAAGTTTGTACGTCCATGGATGATTCATGTGTGTTATTTTTTCACAGAAAGGGGCACGGAAAGATGAGTCAGAAATCCAGCCTAATGCCTGTGTTGTTATTTTTCCTCGTAATGACGGAAACTTACTCAGCACGTAATCGCGAGCGTACCGTGTGCAGCAGGCATGCCGCCGAGCGCAAGATGGACGAAAAAATGTATTATCCTGTATTTGGTAAGAAAGATGGGTCGAACATGGAACAAGCGTCACTGGAGGTAAAAATCGATAAACCAATACGACAAAACATGAATTCCATGGGGAATTTGTTTACAAAAATTGCCTTCCTAAGCAAAACGGTGGACAAATCAAGAGCTACCAGTACAGCTTGGCCATCGAGCTCTAGCCAACATACGGAATCCACACCACGATATAATGCCAAACAGCTAAGCGAGGACGAACTACTTGCCGCTATTCTACGGTCTCTGTTACAGACGAAAGACTAGAGGCTATTTTACGGTCCTTGTCACGGACGAAAGGCTAGATACATGAACAATGGTAACGATTCATTCAATGTATGGCTTCTTTATTATTATTATTATTATTATTATTATTATTATTATTATTATTATTATACATCTGTCACCGTAACGCCATAAGATACAGCGTGCCGTAATTTTGCGGTATTTTACGGGGTATTTTCATTCTACCATATTAGGAAATGCGAATTCCAAATATGGAATGATTACGCGTATATAATAATAAAAACAACATGGCCACCAGGCTTCGACCGGACTCCATACAAAGACGTTCGCTGATTCTGTTCTAAACTTTTTAGATTTCGGCATTCCCATGATGTATTCTTGGTAGGAAAAGATGTATAATAATAAGGTTATTACGAAGATACCTCAAAGTATGCACTCAGACAGTACGCTGTCGCATCGAGTTCCGCTGCGCGTCGGTCGATACTGCCGCTGTACTGTTTTCGCGCATACTTTGAGGTATCTTTGTAATAACCTTATATTATTATTATTATTATTATTATTACTGATTTAAGATCTGTATTTTCTATAGTTTTTTTAACTTCGACATTGGTTTATTTCTACTATTTTTCAGTGCATATACTTCATTTATTTTGATGTTGTTGATACAGTATTCTTACTTCTTATAAAGTTACGCAGCCCCATGCGACGTACATACAATGCTTCTAACACATCGAACAATATACGTGGCTTTATTTAACATATACGTTGTTCAATAGCATCCGTTATGTCAATTTAACCCTGTCATTATTTATCGTTATTATGATTAGCTACAAAATGTTGAATGTCTAAATAAAAATCAATACAGTATATTAACAAATTGTGACTATTATGTGGCAATTCTTATTAAAAAGTAATTTGTAATCTTGTCGAATCGCGTAACAATTGTCTATCAAATGTCAAATTAATTAGATAAAAATTGATATGCATCATTGCTCTCTGTCTTATCAATTTTGAATATACTTGATCAACTGTTTTTGTTTAAGTAAACACATTTAACATAGGTTTATTGATGTTTTGCCCAGCATGATAGTTTTGGGTGCATGTTTAGGGTAGATATTATAAACATATATTACAGAAATTTGATAAATAGATTGTTTACTAATTGTATTTTAGTAGCGACTTTTCAAGGCTTTAACCATGAGACATCCATGGTTATCACGTGATCGTATCAACGACCACAGCGATTAGCTGGTAGCATGTTTACTTTACTGCCACATGTTTACTGTCACGTCTTAGAGTTTGTAACACTTTGGAAGAGAATGAGAGAACTTAACAGCGAGAGGTTACCTCAGCTGACTGTTTGGACGAATAAAGCTGTAATGAACTCAATGTGCATTCCTTTGGATCTGATCTGGTATATGTACGTGTAAGTGTTATTATCTATGTGAATCACAGTTCCCCGAACACAAAACAAGTGTTCACTACATAGTATATACGAATATGCGAATATTCCACAACTTGGTGCTTGACATAACACTATTTTCTGAGGGTGATGTCATTACCATTTGATCATGCTTGGAATTACGTTATATTCCCATACATACCATAATGCTTACTCACAAGTCTCCATACTTTTCACTCAATTTTTTTAACTGCAACAGTGTGCTCTCAATTAAAACAGTGTGTTTTAATGAAAAATATGAAAGTGCTCCCAAGATTTAGAGTGTAGTATTTATTTATTATGATGTCAAACCTTCGCAACCCATTATTATTATTATTATTATTATTATTATTATTATTATTATTATTATTATTATTATTATTATTATTATTATTATTATTATTTTATATTTCTGACAATGTTTTATTAAATAGTATATTACTGATCGATATTTCATATCCAAAAATTACCAATTGAAAGAACAGCTTGAAATTCAATCATTGCTTCTAGCAACCTAGTCTAGCTATTCGGTATTTTCTAATTAGTATTATATATATTCATTTTTTCTCAATCGAGCTAATCCAAATCTGTTGCCGTCGTCGCTCCAAGTTTTTTCGATGCGAAATCCTCCTTTCTTCATTGTGTCTGCAAACTGTTTCCAGTTCCATTTCAAACTCATATGCTCTAACTCGTGGCAATAAAACAACTCCCCTGCTTCAAAATTGAGCATTAAATCCAAATCATCTGCAACGAAAGCAGTTGTTATTTAGTTAGATAAGTGTTAACCTTGTGAATGTGGAAATGCGTTTTCTGTACTGAGAGTGGTTAACTGCGATCAGTCAAACTTGTGTTAATGATTGAAACAGAAGTTGTGTTCATACAGTAGTTTACTTTGAAGTAAATATCTTATCGCAGAACATAATAAAATTGAACGTTATTTAGATTACACATCCGTAATAACAATATGGGAATTAAAACTGACTGCTAATTAGGTTAAAAACATAAACAATAAAATGATGGTAATCATCTACAATGGAAATTTAAAATCAATATTACTGTAAAATACTTTATTTTGGCTGAAAAGGCTTTTTGGGTGTTATGTATGGAATTTATTTTCACTGAATTTTGATGAGTTGAATGTAAAATATAGGAAAAAGGGTATATTCGCTGGTATATTCGTATATTTTTATTTCACTGAATCCTCCCTTCAGCGAAAATAGCGAAAATAAATTCCAAGCGGAAAAAGTATTTTACAATAGTTTAAGCACATATTTTGATCAACTGTGAACATATTTTAGATAGTATAAAGGCACTCAATTGTTGCCCCATGTACACAAGCACATTATCAATGGTTGTACAGTTACTTGACGGTTACTCACCCACATGAACTTGATGTTGACAAGTACTTTCGAGAGCGTGTTGAACATACTGCGGGTTTTCAACAATACCATTCTTATCGTCACTTGCAACGTAATTTGTGTACATAACAAAGTTTTCATGTTTAAAATCCGCTCCGAATTCTCGATTCAGTCTGGTCAGGACATTAAAGTTGAATGGTGCCCATGTTTGAAAATGCTTGTACATGGTGACTACTTTGTCTTTGTCTTGCGTGATGTCAATACCAATCAATAGTCTGTCATTTTCCCCTATAAATTAAATCAATCATATTTACACTGTAATAAAACAAATTATATCAATTGCCATCGATTAACCAAACACACAACAAAAGCAAGAAACCAGTTCTTTCAGGTGGGGAGGGTTATGTAATATGTGCGATGCTGGTATATGAGTTAACATATGATTGTTAGCTTGTCATTAAATGTTCATTCAGACTTTCTAGTATATGGAAAACACCTCGATTAATGTGATCATCATGAACAATGATATAACTGTCAACAAACCTCAAGTAACGGAGCACTGGGGGCTACGGGATCTGATCACAAAGTGCAAGCATCATTTTCATTCTCGTGATGCATGTATTTTAGTTGTACTGCTGAATTAATTGTCATGATTATGTTGTTGATCATGAACTGTCCAAAGCTAGATAGTAAGAGGTATCTACAAATCATACATGGTAAGAATGCCACACCTGTATAGCTCTGTACATGTAACGAGACGTTTTCCTGGTGCAATTATATTAGATGATAGATTTGTTGACGTCAGAAAACATTTATTAAACGTAGCGTCGGGCTTAGGCACTTTTTTACGCCAATTTAACAACATAATCGTGTTAGTTGTATACATAGTGGAAATCAACGCATAGGTTGTCTACAATGTCTACAAGTTCAAAATATTCACATTTAACAAAACCTGGAAACTATACCCACGTCATTATTACTGAATACTGATAATGATTTAAATATACGTCGTTAAAAAAATATTTAAATATTCGGCAATTGATTTTAATCTCCAATGTTGACAATTTAAAATATACGCAATATAATGTTGACAGTATGTGAAATATACAGTCAAAAGATAATGGTGATTTGCTGGTCCAGGATTGGACACTTTCTGTGTCATAGTTAACATTGTAGTTTGATTCACTAAAAACGGTTTCGTCTCATATAAAAATGTTATTAACTAGGTGACACGTGATTGGCGGGCTCGATAAACAAGGTGTCTGAAACTAGTTGTCTTCACTTCTCAAAAGATTTGCTGGTTGACAAAAGTCATATAATATTGGGTAGACGCATGTTTGTAAACACGTGCACGCTAACGACGTTTGACGCATGCGTAGGTGACGAGTGCCCCGGTTAAACATTCCACTTACCCATTATCGTGTTAATGTGCGCCAAGATTGACTTCAAATTCTTCATTGACATATTACTTATACTACTTCCAAGCCAAATGATAAGTTTATTCTGGTTAATATCCTTTATATAGTTTAAGCCATCAATGTAATCCCCGGCGAATGGCTTTACTTCCAATCCAACGTTGAAACGCTGCACCAATGTTTTCACACTGTTTTCCATGAAATCTACAAAACAACGTAATAATTACGAATGTCGATATGTAACACAGTATTTTGTGTAAATTTTGGCAATTTAACCACAAACAGGAAATTATATGTGCCAATCACACGAAGACTCGATTCGATTCGATAACGTTTTCGTAACATTAGGATTGCCTTCTTTACATTCGACATGAAAACGCAGTATTCGAATGTTTTACCTTTAGCTTGATCTATTGGAATAAATGTCACTGTTGTGTTTCTTTTTAACAAGGCGGACAATAAAAGTGTTGTCTTGGTAGAGCTGCCAGCACCGAGTTCACATAAAACAACATCATCTGATTCCGATACAATTTCATCTGTAATAAAAGCGACAGCACAAAGTATTTGATTATGCATGAAAATTTGCTCTAGAATAAGAGTTTGTAGTATTCCCTCGAAAATAAAATATTGCCTTCTTACGATAAGAATGTGCAATTACTTTGTTTTAGTGGGTATTTGCATGTGTGTGTGTGTGTGTGTGTGTGTGTGTGTGTGTGTGTGTGTGTGTGTGTGTGTGTGTGTGTGTGTGTGTGTGTGTGTGTGTGTGTGTGTGTGTGTGATATCAACGTCGAGACGATTTTCATTTAACTTACTAAGTGGCCCTCATTATTTTTATTTATAATAATATTTATTCGAATTTAAGTCAGGTTTGATTAGCTTAGTTTTAGTAAAGGGGAAAGGTATGGTAATATAATTATTGTAACATACCTAACCCATTTACTAAACCTAAGCTTTGCTAACATTATCTGTTATCTCACGAGATATTAAAATTGTATTTAATTAAACTTGAATTAAAACGCAATTCTATGTAGAATTGCAACCCTATATAGGGACGCGTTTTATTCGACTTCATATCACGTCACCCCCACTGAAATCCGACAATGAAGAGCAGTAAAATTCCACGCGACTTTTACGTGGTTGTTGGAGTAAACATATAACATCCGAAACATATAATGACATAGTCTCCGTCTCCGCAACACGTATGTCTACTTCCATACATATATGTAAAATTAATATTAGTTCAGGCGTTGCGTCGCGCTCTGTAGTTCCCAGCATATTTTCCAACACTAATTATGCCATTGGGTAACAATACTGTACACTGACAACCAAAGAAAAGACATCATTGGATATGTTACGCTACCCCGGCGTACACCTGACTTGGACATGTAGAATTCTCTGCTCAATTTTAGGAAGATTCCCAACGTCACCGCATATCGCGAATAATTAATAGCAATGAATATAACATTTTCCAATCTATTGTTTTCAACTTTGTACATGATGATCGTAATATTCTGCCAATATCATCATTGTGTTTAGGTTTATATGACACACATGTACCACGGCTCGTCAACCTGCTGCTCTGTTATTAAGGTACACATAAATATAAGCTTTACAATTTATTTACTAATCGATTTTGGTGATTCTTTCTATACTTTCATTTACGACTGTTTTTTTTTTTAAATTCCAATTGCTAAAATCTGTTATGTAGGACAACGACGCTGTATATCCAGATCTTCTTTCATTATCACTTAATAAATTTACCAGTATTTGCAAGAATTTCTGTTTCAAATGCATTTAGCTCATGGCAGGGAATGAAGGAGTACTGCAAACGATTGAACGCCATTAAATTGTGATTTAACGTAATTAGCATTCCCTTTGCTTGCTTTTACTCACATGGGCTAAGATATGTATCCCATTAATTGTAATTCGACCTTAGATTCATTTAGAATTATAATTCTCATCACTACAATGTTAAAATCAAATGAATTTCAACTGACATCGTTAAAAAACATATATTGGTGATGAACTTTATAGTAACAAAATTCCTAAATTTAGTATTTATATTCCAATAATGTATTCCAATGAACTTAAGATAGAGGAAACTACATAATCTGTTACCATTCCGTTGCATATTCCGCGCTATGCTAGATCGTGTTATCACGCAATAAACGGCAGCGCGACGTCTGTTAGGAGTTCAAAAGACCCTTACGTTCAAAAGTCTCCCCTGTATATTTTTTATATCTTAATTACTCACTAATTTATGACTCTTACATTCATATTTTAGCAGGAAGTTGTTTAACTTTATATTATCAACAGATACTGTTGGCGTTTCCTAATTTTAGCGAGACTATTTATTATTAATAATACTTTTTCGTCGGAAACCCCGTTCTACTTCTTCAAACGTGCGAAAAAACCCGTCGATAATTGACTACTAGCCTGAGGAGTATGAAAATGGCATCATGGGAAAACTTTAAATTTGTCTACCGGAAATCAA